GCAACATGGATGGAGCTGGAAGGGATCATGCTCAGTGAAATAAGCCAGAAAGAAAAAGAAAAAGACTGGATGGCCTCACTCATAGCAGGAATCTAGAAAAACTAAATAAGGGACCAGGAAAAATAGTAACTATAAGAAAGAAAAAATCAAAATTGACAAACAGCTATGAACCAGAGACACACTATGGGGGGGTGGAGAAAGGAGGGATTGGGGTTGCAATCCCTCCACAATAAGGGGGTTGCAATTGTATGGGGAATATAAAAATAAAATTAAAAAAAAATAAGACAGGGCCTCCCCGGTGGTGCAGCGGTTGAGCACTGGGTTGCGAAGCTGCCCGCAGCCTCTGCAGCGCCGGTTCGATCCCCGGCTGCTCCCTGGGCACCGGCGGAGGGTCCCACATGGCGCGCAGACCTCTCCTGCCCCCCGCTGCTCCCCTCACCAGTGTACCTCGGTCCTTCTGCCTGCTCTGCTCCCCGCTCTGGCTCTGGTGAATTCTCTCACCCTCCCGCGCTTCTGACTGTACCTAGTGCTTGTATAAATAAATAAACAAATCTTTAAAAAAAAAAAAATAAGACAATGGAAATAAAACCCAAACACAACATAAACGGTAGGTGTCAAAAAGTAAAAAGACTAACTGTAAAAATACAAGGAACAAAATGGCAATAAATGCATATGTTTTAATAATCACCTGAAATGTAAATAGCTTGGATTCACCAATAAAAAAGTGTACAGTGGATGAATGAATTACAAAACAAATTCCAATCTTTTGTTTATAAAAACACCTGGACTCTAAAGACAAGCACAGGTTTAAAGTTGAAGAATGGAAAACAATTAGACAAACAAATAGTAATGAAAAAAGGGTATCCACAGATATATCAGATAAAATAGATTTCCAGTTTTAAAAGGTAGTATACAGATGAACATTGTGTTATGATTAAGGGCCTAATACAATAAGAAAATATAACACTTGAAATATATATGCACCAAATTAAAGAGCACCAAGATATATAAAGGAACTATTAAAATAATTAAGAGAGATGTCAGTAACAACACGGGATTTTAATAGCCCACATACAATGGACAGGCCAAGAAGTTAGAGAATAAATAAATAAATAAGGAAACAATAGTCTTAAACCTTATCAAACCTTTCAAGAAGAATTTATACCTAATTTCTAATATTTATATTTCTAATAATTACTGATGCAAAAATTCTCCAACAAAGTGTTAGCAAATCAAATTCAACAATACACTACAAAGATCATACACCATGACCAAGTAGGATTTATTCCAGGGATACTTCAATCAATATAATATATTACAACAAAAAAATTAAAAATAAAAATCACAAATAGTATCAGTAGATGCAGAAAAGGCATTTGAAAAGAAAAACCACCTAATTTATGTCATAAACACTTAAAAAAATGGGAATAGAAGGAACCTACCTCAACATAACAAAGGCCATAGTTCACAAACTCAAAGTCAGTATTATATACTTCATGGTGAAAAACTGAGAAGCAAGGATAGTCAATGTCAGCAGTTCTGTTTCATCTAGTATCAGACCATTTAGCTAGACAAGAAGAAATAAAAGGAATCTACATTGGGGGGGAAATAGGGAAATTATCATTATTTGTAGATGATATGATATATACAGAAGACCTTAAGTACTCCACCAAAAAGTTACTAAAAACAATGAATGAATACATAAAAGTGGAAGGCTACAAAATCAAAAACCAAAAACTTGTTGCATTTTTATGAATGAGTGAGAACAAGAAAAGGAAATTAAGAAAATAATTCCATTTATAATCACATCAAAAAGAACTAAATACCTAGCAATTAACTATGGAGTTACAAGATTTATTAAAAAAATACAGAACAAGACATAAAGAGAAGGAAACATCTTCTGTGTTCATGGATGGGGAGCATAGATAGACAAAATGACTATTTTACCAAAAGAGATATGTAGATTTAGTGCAACCTCCATTAAAACTCCAGTGAAAAGTTTCAAGAACATACAACAAAAGTACTAAAATTTACATGGAATCATAGACTTCAAGTAGCCAAAGCAGCCCCAAGGAGAGAAAAGAAAAATGAAGTATCATATTACCTGATTTAAACTACAATTTAAAGCAACAACAATGAAAACAACATAGTATTAGAATAAAAAATAGACACACACAGGTTAATGGACAGAATCAAAGTCCAGAAATAAATCCACAAATATATCATTAAATAATTTATGACAAAGAAGCCACAACCCCACAACAGAGAAATGAGAGTCTTGTTAAATGGTGCTAGGAAAACTAGACGGACACATGTAAAAGAATGACTCAATCTCTTACTCCATGCACACAAATAAATTCAAAATGTATTAAAGATTTATATATAAATGCTGCAACAATAAAATATACGGAAGAAAGCATTGGTGACAAGTTTCATGTTACCAATGATAAAGATATCTTGAGCGGGGGGGGGGGGGGGGGCTCCCTGGTGGTGCAAGGGATTAAGTTTCAGCACTATGAAGCTATCCGCAGCCACCACAGCATGAGTTCGATTCCCGGTCAGGGAGCAACCCACATGGTGCAGCAGACCTCTCCTGTCTCACCCGCTGCTATCCTCAGCAGTGTCTTTGGTCCGTCTGCCTATTCTGCTCCCCACTGTGTCTCTGGTGAATCCTATCACCCACCACATCTCTGCTTTATACCCCAGCTCTTCCATGCATAAATAAATCAATCTTTAAAAAAAAAAAAGATGTCTTTGGGGACTCAACTCCTATGGCATGGAAATAAAAGCAAACCTAAACTTTTTATTGGGACTACCGGAAATTAAAAAGCTTAATTGTGAAAGAACAATTAGCAGATTGAAATGCTATCCTATTGAGAGAAGATATTCACACATCATACAACTGACAAGGGATTAATATATAAGGTATGCAATGAACTCACTCAACAAAGAGGCGAGTAATCCAATTAAGAATTAGACAGCAGATCTGAAAAGATAATTTACCAAAAAGGATATACAGAAGGCCAACAGGTATATGGAAAAATGCTCATCACCACTTTTAACTTTTAATACAAGTTAAAAACATAATGAGATATCTCACATCTGTGAGAATGGAGTATTAAAAAGACCTCCAACAATAAGTGTTGAAGAGGATGTGGGAATATGAACTGGTGCAGTTGTTTCTGAAAGCAGTCTGGACCTCTCTTAAAAAACTAAAAATGAAAATACCGTATGATCCAGTGATTCCACTTTTAGGTATCTATCCAAGAATATCAAGCCAGCTAAAAAAGTATATTCTCTACAATGTGTATTACAGCATTATTTACATTAGCTACAATTTGGAAGCAACCTAAGGCCCACAGGTAAGGACTGGATAAAGAAGATGTGGTACTTAGACATAATGGGACACTATTCAATTATAAGGAAAAATGAAATGTTATCATTAGAGTAAACTGCGAAATAAAGTTAGTCAGAAAGGTAAAGACTGATATTGGACGATTTCACTTGTATAAGTAATGTAGGAAATCAAAATGGATAAACTGACAAAGCAGACACTGATAACCATGCTGATGTTTCTTTAGTTAAGAGGGAGAGGAGGGGCCTCCTCGGTGGTGCAGCGGGTGGAGAACAGCGCTGTGAAGCTGTCCGCAGCCTCTGCAGTGCGGGTTTGATCCCAGTCGGCAGGCAAGAATCCCACATGGCGCAGCAGACCTCTCCTATAGCACCTGCTGCTCCCCTCAGCAGTGTATTTCGGTCGTCTGCCTGTCCTGCTTCCCACTCTGTCTCTGGTGAATTCTCTCACCCTCCCACGTCCCTGGCCTGTACCCCAGTTCTTGTATAAATAAAATAATTCTTAAAAAAAAAAGAGGGAGAGGAATGGAAGAAAGTTAAGGAGAGGAAATGCTAGGGGAAAAAAGCAAATAAGAAAAAAACTTTAGCTTTCTAAACATAAATGTTTATGTGAATGATTACGAGAGAAAATATAAAAATTCCGTTATAGCTTATGTTCACAGACAATACTACATTACGGGAAGATTACAAGCTTTGCAGAGAGACAGACCAGGGTTTCCGTTCTGGCTCTCACAATTACTCATGTGTGACTCTTGCAAATTATTAACTTCTTTGCCTTTCAGTCTCCTCATCTGAAGAATACAATCAATTTGGCGGCTGTGTTTGGCAATATGTAGAGCCCTGTGCCATATACAGAGCGGGTAATCAATGAGCAGTTATTAAGGCACTAAAGAAAACCAAGGCTTACAGAACTGATGTGACAGACAATCTGCCTAGCTGAATTGAGGATTATACCACTGAGTCTCAATTTCAATGATCAACTTCTCCTATTTCACTGACACGTTAAATAACTATCTTCTTATCCATGACACTTGGAGGAAGGACTGATATAGACAGCAATAAAAAAATCAAATATTCTCTTAAAATAAAATAATGCATATAGAGAGAATGCTTTGGTAAAAGCCAAAAAGAATTGCCTGAAGAGTTTTATTTCATTTACACTGAAGGAAAGAACAGTACCACCATTTATTCATTCGATCCTATTTCTTTCTCACACTGTCACTAACACTGTTAATGTGTTGTGGACTGGTTTTTCCACATGAAAGCCCCTTCGCATTCACCAGAACGCAGCAGGCTATTGTAGCTAGAGATTCTGGGTTATAAAACTTGTTCAGTGAAGATCACTTTGGTAATATCCTAATCTTGAATGCAGTTATAAAAATAGTTGATGGCCATCTTATGCTACTTATAAACAAAAATGGCTCTTAGGCAATAATGTGGTAAAAATGTAACACCTGAATATGTGGGTTTTTTTTTTTTTTTTTTGTGGGACCCTCGCAGGCAGCCGGGGAACGAACCGACGCTGCAGAGGCTGCAGGCAGCCTCGCAGCCCAGCACCCAACCGCTGCACCACCAGGGGAGGCCCCTGAAAATGTGTTTTTTAAAAAATACAACAAAAAGCCCCACATTTTGCCGTCTGTTTTACATACCTGAGAATTTTTTTAGGCATCTGTGCTGGAGAAGAATGAGCCCTTTTCTTTTTCTCTGAGTCCTCCGGTCCACCCTTGTCTGTAACCGCTGACGGGTCTGGCCTGGCCTTGCTCTGCTCCACAGCGAGGTGGCCTTGGGAGGGCTCACACCGGTACATGAAGACGATGGCGGGCTTCTCGCTGGACTCTCCTTTCGTCTCTGTAAACCAGTGATGGCGCTGAACCGGAGGAGGAGGCAGCATGTGGATGACTGTGCCGTCCAGGCCCACCAGTTTCCCCTTCTCCCGGTCCTTCTCTTTGTCATCCTCCTCATCTGTCTTCCGACGGCGAAAGAAGCTTTTAAATGATATCCAGCGTTTAGGTTTTGCATCAACTGCGCGCCTGCTACTGTCAGAAGGCAAAACTGATTCCGCTTCCGTTGCCCTGGTGGGGCTGGTGGGCTTGGTCCAATTGTTGAAATGTCTCTGCAAAAGGTTACTGGCATGGTAAGGGGAGGAAGTCGAGCGCGGTGGGGGAAAGGGAGGTGGGGGTTCACCCTGTGGGCTAGTCACTGATTTGGAGGCGAGGGTGGCCACTGGCTTGGTGAGTGGATCTTTCTGTACTTTGGTGGGAGGATTTTCTGTGGGCTGAGGTGCCTCGGCCTCACCACTGGGCTGAGAGATAAAGAGAGATTTGGGCCGGACTGGGGTACTCTTAGGTGTCGTCTTCCCAGCGTCTGCATCTGGAGGAACTGCGTAAAGCTCTTCCACACTACAAGCCTTAGGGCCAGCCGGAGGCATTTCTGGGGGAGTTTTGGGGGGTTGGATAGAAGCCACAATCTGAGAAAGCACTGTGCTTGCTTTCTCCCTGGCGCTGCCACCGCTGCCCACCGTCGGACACTCCTGAGCACCTTCCGGTTTGGCCATGGATTCTTGAGTGCTTCTCTGGATCTTTACCGGGGAGCTGTGGCTGGAGCTATAGCTTCTCTGTGGTGAAGACTGACTTCTGTTAAGACAGCTGTTAAACTCTTGAACCTTCTGAGCCACCGAGCCCCTCTTACGCTCTGTGCTATTTGAAAACCCTTTAGCTTGGGGACATTCAGTGGGCTTGCAAGTGGTGTTATCAGACACTTTGCTTCCAGTTTCTATTTCTTCATAAGTATGGCTTATTACACTTGTAGTTTTTTCCTTTACTGAGAGTTCTCCACTTGTTCCGAGAAAACTTTTGTAAATGGCTAGATTGTCGTATGCATTTGGATTAATTACAATGGGAACTTTGATAGCATTTTTTGAACTCCGAGCATAAGAAGGCTCATCGTGAATGATAATGGGAAAAGGTGGCATGCCAGCATTGTTATAACTATTAAATTTTATTTCAGACAAATTAGGTGACTTAACAGGGATGGTTTTGGAGGAAATGTTTGTAGCTGTGGGTGAAGTAGGTGCCGATTTGTGACAGGTTTTCCTTGGAGGGACATTTGGTCCAGTTCCACTGCTAATTAATTCCACCTTAGGTATCTTTTGTCGTGGACTGGTACTGGAAGTCCAGACTTCCTGATATCGGATTGCACTGGATTTTTGGAAATGAGCACTTATTTGTCCCGATGCCAACACAGGTGATGTAACTGGAGAATTTGGAGTTGAAGATGAGCCTTTTATCCTGGGGCTCTTAACAGGGCCCTCGAGGTGCTCACCGGTCATGGCTGCTGACACATCCACCACAGTATATGGCTTGCACAGTGGCTGCTCCAGATTCACAACTCGGTAGGGCTTTGCCTGCTCTTCTACAGGGACGAGGTTTATGGTGACTGCTTGCCCTGCTATATCCGTAGAGGCTTTACTTTCTTGCTTCTCAGTTTGCACGGCAATCTTGCCATCCTTCTCTTCTAATCGGAGGGCAAGGACTGCTTTGTGTGTCTCTGGAACTTTTACTGAGCTTTTGGGTCCTTGTGATGAGTCTTTTTCCTGATTATTAGCAGAGAGACTTTCATAATTGGGCTCACTTTCCTTCATGTCCTTAGGCTCTCCTGGGTTACCAGGAGATATTCCCCCATTGCAAATCTTCTGGGATAAACTACTGGCTGTCTCAGAACGTGACTCTTCTGTTAAAGAAGAATCTGGGGATGTGGAGTCAGATGACAACATGCTCTGAATGCTCCCTGCCCCGTAGGGAACCACAGAATTCTCTTCGTAACCATTCAGGATTTCATCATAACTGTCATCATAGTCCACAGCACAAATTCTCTGTAGAGATTTATTTCGTAGGGGAACAGTATTCCACTTTTTGTCCACAAAGAATCGAACAGGAGACAAAGTATTTGCCCTTAAGTTAGCAAAGCGAGGTTGCCCTCTCATGCGAATCTCCATGGCCAAGAGCTCTTCATCACTCTCATCCCAGCTCTCATGCTCCTCCTCCATGTTACTGAAAAGCACATCATCTTCACTCTCCTCGCCACTGGAAAACTCTGGGTAACAGAACCGGCCCCCTTCATTACTGATGACTTCTGTGCTCCCACTCAGAATTACGTGCTTTCCCTGAGTTTCCTTTATCCCGCCCATCATGCAACTTGGTGGAAGCTTTCTTTCCAGTGATCTTTTATAGCAATCATTTATCCTTCCTAAGAATGTTTCTCTGGAGCTTGTTTCATTTCCTCCTATCTGAGGGGTCGTATTCAAGCCTGCTATTTCCTTTAATACCTCAGTTAGTCCATTATTGTTATTTGATACCTTCTTTGCACTATCATTATTGCCACAAGGCTTAGGAACATGGCTAAATCCTTCAAGGTCATCTTCATTGTTATTATTAAGTGGTTTCTGATTCAAGGCCGTTCTGTTTCGGTTCCACCCCATGATGACAGGTTTGTTGTCACTATGTTCTTGGATACTAAGCTCACCACATACACTTTGCCCATCTGCCACCATCATAGTGGGCTTCACAGCTATAGTGGGTTTTTTAGCCACAGGAGGCCGGAAATTTCCTGTGTTCCTGACACGGTGGTTGTTGCTGTGATTGGCATTCGTTTTCACATTGCCATGGGTGACGGGTGCCTTCTCAGGGTCTGGCGGGAGCTGGTGCAAGCTTTTAGGTTTAAAGCAGTTCTTGCATTCACCAGGTTTCCACACGTGTTCAGTAAAGGTGTTACAAGCAGACATTTTTAAAAATAGAACTTCACAGACAATGCTTTCCTTTCAGTGCATGGCAAAACTTTCATCCATTAGTTTTCACCTCCCTTTTGTATCACACATAGCAGCTCTTGCCAAGTTTGATCAATCTGTGGGGAGGAGAAGGGGAAGAAGAAGAAAATCTAAATGGAAAAGGCACTATGAGGCATATTATGATGAATGGCTTGAAAAAAATTGGTTCTATTTCTAAACTTTCCCTTACATTAAAAGATAGAGAGATAAACTATTTTGGGTACTTCATGAACTCCCTCTACCTATCAGTATTTCGGAAAGTTAAATTTTTAACCACAATTTTATATACTCTCTTTGATCCATATATAATCTTTTGATTGATGTCTCTATGGTAGTGATACTGTGATCATTCCCTCCTGGAAAAGTCTTTGAAATTGTTCTTCTTGTTATCCACCAACCAGTCTGCAATGTCTCACTCCATTGTGGGCTCAACTTCTGCCTACCCTTTACATAGTGGATATCCCATAGACGCCTGAAACTCAACGCATTCAAAACCAGTCCTTTGGTTACCCCTTTTCTCAACTCCAAGGAACCTTCTATTCTAATGAGCGCTCCCTTATCCTTATTCTTCCTCTGCCTTTATCCTATTTCAGGTAATGTTACTATCATTCACCTACATAGCTAAGTTTCAATCCTCAGACCCTTCTTTATGCCTCTCCTCTCACTTCTGAGTCCATAACCTACTAAACTCCTGAGATCAGTCTTTCTAATTTTATCTACTACATTTCACTGGAACCCATTCTTGCCATTGTCATACATTTTGTAGTTCAGAAACTCACTATTTTTTGCCTAGATTCTTACTACGGTCTCTTAATTGACCTTTATGCCTATAGTCTCATCTCATTCCAGTCCAAAATCTCTGCCCTTGTTTTGTAAAGTGTGCACTTAAGACAAGCAGTATCAAGCTCATCTGGGACACGAATATCTTAATTCCAACCCCAGATCATTGGACCAGAATTGCACCTCAAGATTTCTCAGGGAATTCCACTGTCCTATCAGATTTAATGTTCTAAAATGGTAACATGATCATGTTTTACCTAACCTAACTATTCCGGGCCTCTGTCTTAGTTAATCATTAGCTCCCAGATATCAGCGTGCAGACTAGGGAAGAACCACCTGGGGAACACCCTGGTCCCACATAAGTCAATGCTGAAGGAAGAGCCTAGGAATTTGATTTTTAAATAAGGGTTCCAGGTTATCCTGTGTGTGCTGAGGTGTTGGAAGCGTTGCATTACTGTATGTATGGAGTTTAAGTTCCTCAGGTTTCATGACATGGCCCTTTTCTCCCATCTAGTATTATGTTCTGAAAATCAACTAGTTTTATACTCTAAATCTTACTGGACTACTCATTTTTCCTTGGTATTATGAAAGCCACACAGACATGAATACACATTTTCAATTTAAAAAAATTAGATCTACCACTGATTTACATTACATGTTTCAGGAGTGTAACTTTACACCTCGGTAACAGTGTAAACCGACCCACAACCAAAGGTCTAGTTACCATCCACTGCTACCCAATTAACTTTCTTCTATTTGTTCTCCCACACCCCTACCTTTTCACCTCTGATAACCACCTCTTTTTTCACAAGTTTTAGAGCTTCTTTAAGGCCTGGGCTATATCTTATTCACCTCCGTATGTTTAGCATAAGGAGCTGAATGGACATTCATTGAATAAATGTGTTGGTTTAAAAGTTTTTTAGAAAAATATGAACCCTATGGCTTTCTCTTTCTTAGGCACTTAGCTGTAGGCTTTCCCAATACAGTCTTAGAGTTCTTTGGATATTTTAATAAAGTTAGCAGTAGGCATGTACATGTAAGAACTATTTTAATAGCTGGAAAGTTTAATTTCATTCATGTAGAGTGGCAGGGTTTGGTCAGAAACTCATGTTTTTCACCAAGTTACAGCACATTTGCAAGGAAGGAAAGAATATTTTCTCTAGCTAAAATATACAAAGCTAAGTTCACTGTAAACAATTCTCATAAAGCAGTCTGCTTCAATGGATAAAGTACAGACTTAATGATCAAAGAATTTCCATAGAGAACCAAAAATCTAAGTATGTTCTTGCTGGAGATCACTGAATGGCTCTTTTCAATAAAGTTAAAATATATTTTCAAATGTTTATTTGAAAACATTTATTTACTCTTTCAGCTATTCTAAAATCCCTTAGTTGATAAAACCATTTTCTGGTTCAGCTAGTCTAAAATCCCTTAGTTGATAAAAATATTTTGAGCAAGGGGAAGAATGGCATAAAATTAAGCTGAAAGGAAAGCAGGGGCCAAATCGATCAGGCTTCTTTGGCTTTTAAAGATTATAAGAGCAGTGGGATGCCACCAAAGAAAGGGTTTTAAACAGAGGAAACAACATGATCCAATTTGCATTTTAAAAAGATGGCTCTCACCAAAAAAACATGAAAAATTTAGGTATAAATCTAATGAATCATGTGAAAAATCTAAAACCTGTATATGAAAACTATAAAGTACAGATAAAAGTATGTTATGATAAAACACTCATAAAAGATATCAAAACCTAAATAAGTGGAGAAATATGCCAAATTTTCTAAATATTGTTAAGAAGTCAGTTCTTCCCAAGTTGCTCTGTAGATCCAGCATGATTCCAACTAAAAGCGAAGCAGGATTTTTTGGCAGAAATCAACAAGCTGATTCTAAAATGTATAGAGAAGGAAGGCAAAGGAACTAAAATAGACAAAACAATTTTGAAAGGGAACAAAATTGCAGGACTCATTAGTTGATTTCAAGATTTAGTATAAAGCTGTAGTTATCCTGACAGTGTGCTACTATTAAGCAATAGAAACATAAATGGGGAAGTGGGATAAGCACGTTATAGCCCATGGGCCAAATTTCGCCTTTTGTCTGTTTTTGTATGCCTCTGGCTCAAAAACCTATTTAAAATCACTTAAATGATTGAAAAAAATCAAAATAATATTTTGTGACAAGTGAAAGTGACATGAAATTCAAATGTCAGTGCTCATAAAGAGAGTTCTATTGGAACATAGGCCAGCTCATTTGTTTACATATTGTCGATGGCAGTGTTTGTGCTATGATGGAGAACTGAGTATTGTATTAGACCCATGTGGCTCCCTCATCACTTGTAGTGCTTTCCAGTGCTTTAAAAATAGCAGTGTTTCCACTGCTACATGTATCACCTGTGTGAAGACATTTTTCAAAGGCAAAAATAAGTAAAATTTTTATGAATATGCATAACGTAAGTACATAAACATTTATAATCGAGTTTGATGAAAGGAATACTAACTTTGAATCCTAATTAAACAAAATGTTCTCTCTTTCCTCCCAAAGAACTTCATTTTTCTTCTTGGTAGAGGTATGCTATAAATGTAGTCAGTTATTACATTCTGAATTTTGTCCAAGAAATTCACAGAAGTTTACATTTTCTCTTATTACACAGCTGCCAATATAGTATCTCTGATTTTGCTGGTTGCCCTACAAAACCTAAAATATTACTCTCTGGTTCTTTACAGAAAAGTCTGCTGACCCCTTACATAGATCAGAACAAATATGGAATAGAATCAAGTCCAAAAATAGACATACACAAATATAGGCAAGTGGTTTTTGATGAAGGCGAAAAGGATATTCTTTTCAACATATGTATATCCACAGCCAACAAAATGAACCTTGATTCACACCTCACAGCCCACACACAAAAATTATCTCAAGGTGGATCAGAGATCTAAGTATGACATGTAAGACTATAAGGCTTTTAGAAGAAAACATTGGGGAAAATCTTCACAACCTTGGATTTGGCAGAGTTCTTAGATATAATGCCAAAATTCATGAAAGAAAAAAAGCGATCATTTGGACTCCATCAAAATTAAAAATATTTGCACTGACAAAGATACTCATAAGAGAATGAAAAGACAAGCCACATATGAGAATTTTTTTGTGAGTGTGAAGTACCTATCTGAGAAAGGGCTTTTCAAAACATATAAATATATTACAAATTTCAACAAAAAAATTCAATTTAAAATATAGGAAAAAAGATAGACATAAAATTTTTATGGCACCCATCAATGTCACTGCTAGGTATTTACCCAGGACAAATGAAAAGTTGTTTTACTGAAGCCTGTATACAAAAGTTTATAGGCAAAAATGGAAAGCAATTCAAATATTGGGTAGAAGTGGTTATATAACTGCACGCATTTGTCAAAACTGAATTTTCACTAAAAACGATAATTTTTATTACATGTAAATCAAACCTCAATAAGCTTGACTTATAAAATAAAAGACAGCTCTGGCTGCTCTATGGATAATGGACTGGCAGAGCACAAGTCAGGTGGTCAGGAAGCTTTAAAGGGCTATTACAGGCAAAACAAGATATAAGGATGATCTGGATTAGGATGTGGCATCTGGGATGGCCAAGAATAGCAGATGCATGGATAACTGGATTTTGAAGAGTATAAGAAATGATGAGGTTTTGAGTTTATGTATTAAAATTATTTGTAAGACTAAAACTGGAGGAGGTACAACTTTTGGGGGGATGATGACAAGTCCATATTTGTCAGCTTGCATATAACTGACCAAGAAGTTGAATTTAGAAGTCTGGAATACCAAAGGGAATCCTGCTGTCTTGTCTGTTTGGGGACTACTGATACAGAAATAGCTAGGCTAAACAGGAAATCGTGAGCAAGGGAGGTGGCCTTAATGGTTGAACTGGGGAAGAGAAAGCTTGGAAAAAAGCAGTCACAAATATGATGATACAAAAGTCAGAAGAGATTTCATTAGAACAAGAAAAGACAACTATTTCAAATGCAGTTGAATGGTAACAGAGAATAAGGACTTAAATGTGCCCACTGGACTTGGCAACGTAAGCTCCCTGGTGATCTCAGCATGACCTATTTTTGTATAGTGGTAGGGACAGAAAGCAGACTATGGTGAGCTGAAGAATGAGGAGATAGAGAAAGACTTCCTATGGGTAACTTTGTGGAGAAATTAGGTGGGAAGTAGAAGAAAGAGCAGAGAAGGGTGGTGGTCGTGGTGGGGGGCATGGTGGTCCAGAGAGGATTTCCATGTTTTCAGACGACAGAGAGCAGATCATCTT